AGCCTGGCCAATATGGTGAATCCCTGTCTCTACTAAATACACAAAATTAGCCGGGCATGGTGGTGTGCCTCTGTAATCCCAGGCTGAGGCAGGAGAATCACTTGAGCCCAGGAGGCGGATGTTGCGGTGAGCTGAGATCACACCACTGCACTCCAGCCCGGGTGATAAGAGTGAGACTCCATTCTTAATAAAAATAATAATAATAAAAAAATAAGCCACAGCTATTTGCAGAGTCCTTTTACTATTCTCATCCCTATATAAAATGCTGTGCTTTCTCCTTTCTGACAGCCTCCCTCCTCCTCCTGCAATGTCTGTCCATATTCCTCCTCAATAAGACTTCCTTGACTCCTGTTTACTTATCTCCTACCTCCTCTAAGCCAATGGCTCACTGCAGCCTCAACCTCCCAGGCTCAAGTGATCCTACCACCTCAGCCTCCTGAGTAGCTGGTACCACAGGCATGTATCACCATGCCTGGCTAATTTTATTTTTTTGTAGAGTTAGGTTTTCGCCATATTACCTAGGCTGGTCTCGAAATCCTGCGCTCAAGTAATCTGCCCATGTTAGCCTACCAAAGTGATGGAATTACAGGCATGAGCCACCACACCTGGCTCAGTTATCAGTCTTATCTATACATTGGAATTATCCAGGAAGCTTTAAAAACATTCCTAGATTTCGGGCCAGGCAAGGTGGCTCATACCTGTAATCCCAGCACTTCAGGAGTTGGGAGGATCACTTGAGTCAGGAGTTTGAGACTAGCCTGAAGAAAAAAAAAAAAAAAAAAAAAAGAGACTAGCCTGGACAAGGTGAAACCTCGTCTCTACTAAAAATAAAAAAAAATTTAGCCAAGCATGGTGGCACACACCTATAATTCCACCTACTTTGGGATGCTGAAATGGGAGAATCTCTGGAACCTGGGAGATGGCTGCAGTGAGCCGAGATGATGCCACTGCATTCCAGCCTGGGAGACAGAGCAAGATGCTGTTTCAAGAAAAAAATTTGTAAGTTTCATATCAGGAATACCGAAGTTAGGGAAGGAGGTATAGAGGATCTGTAATTTTTTAATGTTCTTCATGTTTTGATGAACAGACTTGAGAAACACTAGTGTAAATTACATTTAGCAGTTATGTGCTTACCTTGTGATAGCCTTGGATTGTTTTATACTTAGTACGTCATATATACATATATGTTTGCATATGTCTTAGTTCAAGCTGCTGTAACAAATACCTTAGATGGTAGTTTATAAACAAAAGAAATTTATTACGTACAATTTTGGAGGCTAAGAAGTCCAAGATCAAGGTGCCAGCAGATTCAGTGTCTGATGAGGGCTCGCTGCTTCATAGATGGCACCTCTTGCTGTGTCCTTACAGGGTGAAAGAGGCAAAGGAGTTCACTCAAGCTTTTCAGGTTTTTTTTTTTTTTTTTCTTCTGACATAAGGTCTCAATCTGCAGCCCAGGCTAGAGTGCAGTGGCACAATCACAGCTCATTACACCCTCAACATCCCTGGGCTTAGGTGATCCTTCCACCTCAGCCTTTAGAGTAGCTGGGTCTACAGGCATGCACCACCACTCCTGGCTAATTTTTGGGTATTTTTTGTAGGTGATGCTGATGTTACTGGTCTAGAGACCATTCTTTGGGAACCACTGCTTTAAGAGCAATGGTTCTCAATCGTGAATACGGATTAGAATCACCTCCGAGCTTTAAAAAACAAACCATGCTCGGCCAGGTGCAGTGGCTCGCACCTGTAATTCCCTGCACTTTGGGAGGCCCAGGCAGGCGGATCACTTGAAGCCAGGAGTTCGAGACCAGACTGGACAACACAGCAAAATCCCATCTCTACTGAAAAATACAAAAAATTAGCCAGGCATGGTAGCACAAGCCTGTAATCTAATCCCAGCTACTTAGGAGGCTAAGGTACAACAATTGCTTGAACCTGGGAGGTGGAGGTTGCAGTAAGCCAAGACCACACCACTACATTCCAGCCTGGGTGACAGAGTGAGACTGTCTCAAAACAAAAATAAAAAACAACCATGCTTAGGCCCTACTCCCAGAGATTCTGTTCATTCGGTATGGGGATGAGGTCTAGTCATTCATAATTTACAAATCTCCCTAGGTATTTGAAATGTGCATCCAGAGCTAAGAAACATTGACAAGGCCTAGAGCAATGGCCAAGTTCATTTGCTTCTTGTGGCTTTTGCCCTAATTCTTACCTGGTGTGTTCTTCCTCTAGGTCTTTCCATGAATCCTCCTTGTCATTCAGGACTCAAGATTAAACGCTACTTCCTCAGGAAGACCTTCCCTGATCCCCACAATAAGCTAGAATAACATACCTACATTTATCGCATTGTCCTGCTTGTTTTCATGACTGAATTATTAACAGCAGTTCCTGAGACTTCTCTATTTGTGCTTATTGTCTGTTTCTTCCAACTGTCATATAAGCATCTTGAGTACAGGCACTTTGTCTTATTCACTGCTGTATCCCCAGCACTTAGAACAGTATCTGGCACCTATAGGTATTCCAATGTATGTGAATGAAAGAGAAAAAGGTCTTTTAAAATAAATTCTTTTAGTTCTTCTCACGACTGAAAAGGTCTTTTTTTTTTTTTTTTGAGACAGAGTTTCGCTCTTGTTACCCAGGCTGGAGTGCAATGGCGCGATCTCGGCTCACAGCAACCTCCGCCTCTTGGGTTCAGGCAATTCTCCTGCCTCAGCCTCCTGAGTAGCTGGGATTACAGGTATGCACCACCATGCCCAGCTAATTTTTTTTTTTTCTCTATTTTTAGTAGAGACGGGGTTTCACCATGTTGACCAGGATGGTCTCGATCTCTTGACCTCGTGATCCACCCGCCTCGGCCTCCCAAAGTGCTGGGATTATGAAAAGGTCTTTTAAAATAAATTCTTTTAGTTCTCACGGCTGCTTTCTTTTTCCTTTTTTTTTTTTTTTTTGGAGACAGAGTCTCACTCTGTCGCACAGGCTGGAGTGCAGTGGTGTGATACTGGCTCACTGTAACCTCCACCTCCCAGGATCAAGTGATTTGCCTACCTCAGCCTCCCGAGTAGCTGGGATTATGGGTGTCCACCACCATGCCCTAATTTTTGTATTTTTAGTGGAGACCGGGTTTTACCATGTTGGCCAGGCTGGTCTCCAACTCCTGACCTTGGGTGATCTGCCTGCCTCAGCCTCCCAAAGTGCTGGGATTACAGGCGTGAGCTACTGCGCCTGACCCTGACAGCTATTTTCAACTGGCTTTTAATAAAATGTGTTTTACTTATGCAATATAATTAAACTATCCATAAAAAAAGCACAAATTACTTTTTTTTTTTTTTTTTGGTGAATATATCTTAATTGCACTAGGTTCATTCCCTTCACAGGAATCTATATTAAATCTGCTGCAAAGTAAACAATTATCCCTTAATGTGTGTACATATATATACATATATGTGTATATTGGAGACAGAGTCTTGCTCTGTTGCCAGGCGCCAGAGCGCACTGGCGCTATCTCAGCTCACTGCAACCTCCGCCTCCCAGGTTCTCCTGCCTCAGCCTCCCGAGCAGCTGGGACTACAGATGCATGCCACCAAGCCTAGCTAATTTTTGTATTTTTAGTAGAGACGGGTTTTCACCATGTTGGCCAGGATGGTCTCGATATCTTCACCTTGTAATCTGCCCGCCTCGGCCTCCCAAAGTGCTGAGATTGCAGGCGTGAGCCACCGCGCCCAGCCCCTTTAATGTATTTTTTAAATATATGGTATTTGTTCCTATATGTTGCTACAGTTCACACAGTAGGGCAGCTGGGTCTGGCCAGGATAACATTTATTAAATCAAGGGATTGCTGCTTAGAACTTCGGTGTTTGCCTGTAATCCCAGCACTTTGGGAGGCCGAGGCAGGTGGATCACGAGGTCAAGAGATCAAGACCATCCTGGTCAACATGGTGAAAACCCGTCTCTACTAAAAATACAAAAAATTAGCTGGGCATGGTGGCGCGTGCCTGTAATCCCAGCTACTCAAGAGGCTGAGGCAGGAGAATTGCCTGAACCCAGGAGGCGGAGGTTGCGGTGAGCGGAGATCGCGCCATTGCACTCCAGCCTGGGTAACAAGAGTGAAACTCCGTCTCAAAAAAAAAAAAAAAAAAAAAGAACTTCGGTGTTTGTTTTTGGAGACAGAAGACAGGCAACAGTAATTTCTAGAAGAGTAGAATGGTATTCAGGCAACAAGAGTCACAGGAAAACAAGAAGGCTCTAATTCCTTCTAAAAGAGGGACACATTTACCCTCTTTTCTTCTGGGGGCACCTCTTTAACAAATGAATGTAATCTGGCGGAAGCAGGGAGTTTTAATTTTAAGTGGAGACAGAAGAGTTGAGATTACTAAAGTGTCTCGTTTTGCAGAGGTGTAAGCCAGTGCGGTAAAATCTCCAAGCTGTGGGTCACCTGTCGCTTGGTCTCAAGGAGGCAGCTGAGTCTAACTTACAACTCAGGCAGGTGATCTGAGGGCAACGCAGCTGTCCTTAAGTCACCTGCGGGCCATTTCTGAGATGCATTACCTCCAAAAAGATAGAACAGAACATTTGTTGCAAGGGAAAAATGAGATTTCGTGTCCTGATCCGTCTTTTCGGCAGGAACCTGAGTACTTCCTCAAAGTCCCAAATATCCAACCCTCTCCCCCGTTAACAGGGCTAGTTGCATGAGCAACCAGTTTGTCAGGCAGCCGCCTCCTCTTTCCTCCCTCAGCGTACTTCATCGATCACGGCTAGAAACAAAACGACTTTGTGTATGGAATAATGATTGAAATCTCACCGGCGCCTCAGCAGGAGGGGCAACCAGCTCCGCGGCTTTGGAGAAGGCCAGCCCACCGCCGTCGGCGGCTCGAGCAAATCCTAAGCAGAGCGGCCAGAGGATGGAAGCAGAGTAGCCCGACTGGGCGGTGCATTCTGGGAGTTGTAGTCCCTGCGCGACAACACGCCGTCCCCACCCCCCCCACGCCCCGGTCTGCACCAGGCGCTGTACTCCATTTCCCAGCCGCCCCCGCGCCGCGGAGGAGGCGAGCTCGCTGATGAGCTGCCGCAGCGGGAGGGGGCCTAGGACCGAGAAGCCGCTATAGTACCGGCCGGGAGACGCTGACAGCTGGCATCCCTAGGGGCTCAGGGACCTTGGGTGGACAGCGACGAGGGGCCTTGTGGCCGCCGTGTGTCTCTGATTTCGCCTTCCGTCCTCCCGACAGGCGTGCAGAGTCCGCCATGGAAGCGCATCCGGCCGCCGCCTGGGTCTCCGGCAGCCGCGGCCTCGGCTTCCCGGGGCGATGAAGGACTAGGGCGCCCGCCGTCCCGCCTGCCTCCGGCGCTCTGGCTAGCCAGGCGGGAAGGGGATCGGGCAGGCTGGCGGGCGGTCCCGCGGTGCCCGCCTTTGCGCCGTCCCGCCCCCTGGGGGCGCTGCCGAGGGGGCGCCAGCCGCCCATGCCGCCCCGGCGCCCAGCCGCGCCCGGCGCCCGCCACTGAAGCTCAGGACTCGCCGCCGCCCGCGCCCACCGCCGTCCGCGCCCACCGACTCGAGCCGACCGTCCTCCTGCCCCCAAAATGTGGCACAGCGTCGGGCTGACCCTGCTCGTGTTCGTGGCCACGCTGCTGATCGTCCTGCTGCTGATGGTGTGCGGTGAGTGGGGGCGGCAGCCGCGGGGCAGTTCCACAGCCCGGGTCGATCTGTTGGCATTGTCTTTTCAAAAAACAAAAGGGCGTGGACGGACAAGTGTCTCGAAATCAACTGTTGTCCCTTAGCCCCTCAGGGCTGAGCGCAGAGGTGGGCCCCTTACCCATGGCCGGCCCTCGGGCATCCTGGGGAGGGACAGGACAGGGTCCAGGGGTGAAACCCTGTCTTGCTTCACCGGCAGCGTCTGCTCCTGATTTCATTCTCACCACAGGCTGCCCAGATTGTAACCTTGGCCTGCATTCGAAGGTGAAGCGATTGGTTAGTCTTTTTTCTTCTACACAGATTCTGACCTTAATAATGAGAGGTGTCACCTTCGTTTCATCAGCTGGTGGGGTAGAGTTGGGTTTTCAGCACGTGTGAAATTGTTTACTTAAACTCAATTCCAAGAAGAGATGTCAAGACCGGGCAGAGCTTAAAAACACCAGCTATATTAAACTTCCAGGGTCGGGTAACATAACTCTCAGTTCTATAATAATGGTGCTGTTTTTGAATGCTGTGCGTGCTTTCCTTCTTGGAATGAGGAGACATTCATTGATGTTAGGCCAATTTTAGAGCTTTTTGATTTCTTTATACATAATAGCTGATAACCACAGGCTTCTTAGCAAAGTGGCTGAGCAATTGTGAAAATCTGAAAAGTATGTAGAACACATGTCATTGAGTTTACACATATTTATAAGACTGAAGTATGGGTTCAGGTTGATGTAATAATGGGTCAGAATTCATATAGATACTATCGGGCATGTTTATTACACGATAAATATACAAATTAATATTTAGTGACACTGCTTGGGGAAGATATGTGTGCATTTGTGCATATGCATGTATATGTATTCATATACTTGTATGTTTATTTTATTTTTTGAGATGGAGTCTTGCTCTTGTCACCCAAGCTGGAGTGTAATGGCACGATCTTGGCTCACTGCAACCTCCTGGGTTCAAGCGATTCTCCTGCCTCAGCCTCCTGAGTAGCTGGAATTACAGGCGCCCACCGCCACGCCCTAATTTTTGTATTTTTAGTAGAGATGAGGTTTCACCATGTTGGCCAGGCTGATCTTGAACTCCTGGGTGGATCATGTGATCCACCCACCTTGGCCTCCCAGAGTTCTGGGATTACAGATGTGAGCACCATGCCTGGCCTTGCGTGTATGTTTAAAACTTGTTGTGCTTTACTATAATGCCAGATTAAAGCTTCTAGTTTACCAGGCTTTCTTTTCTGATGAGATAAAGCAATTGAATAACCTTTCTCAATTTTCTGCTTGTGATGTCAACAAGCCGAAGAATATTAGAATATTGAACTAATTGTAGATGTTTAAGGTTCTTGAAGTAAGGAAAACAAGTTCCTTGTGATACGTTTGGATTTGGGGAAGGAGGGAAAGCATGTATTTCCCTTTCTAGTTTGAATATGCAAACTACCTGGACATGGGGTTGGGACGTGTAGACCCTACCATGTCTTGGCTAGGATATTTGCCAAACTTACCTTTGTGGTTTCAGAATTCCTAATTGCTCTCTCATCTCTAAACAGCTATTTGATGGTGTAATTACATATTTTTCTAAAAGTGCTTTCAGTTTCAGAAACATTAAGGAGATGGGGTGTTCCAGGACAGCAGTCTCCAACCTTTTTGGCACCAGGGACTCATTTCATGGAAAACAATTTTTCCACAGATGGGGCCGGGTTGATTTTGGGATGAAATTATTATGCTTCAGATCATCAGGCATTAGATTCTCATAAGGAGCAAGCAACCTAGATCCTCCTATGCACAGTTCACAATAAGGTCCGTGCTCTTGTGAGAATCTAATGTACTGCTGATCTGACAGGAGGCAGAGCTCAGATGGTAATGCTCAGCTCCTGCATGGACCAGGGACCTGTGTGCTAGGGTGGGGGACCCCTGTGCTAGGACACCTTAGTTGGTTGGAACGGTCAAGACTAACAGCTCTATGAAGAAGTAATCGATACCTTTTTTTTTGTTGGGAGAACTAATGATGGAGTAACCTCATCTTTTGACTAGGATGGGGCTGGAACTTGGGGAGAGGAGGTAAGGATCAGACCAGACCTGAGAGAGAAACTGGGCTGCCATGACAAAATACCAGAAATGGGTGGGTGGCTTAAACAACACATTTATTTTCCTTTTTTTTTTTTTGAGATGGCGTTTCGCTCTTGTTGCTCAGGCTGGAGTGCAGTGGTGCAGTCTTAGCTCAGTGCAACCTCCGCCTCCCGGGTTCAAGCAATTCTCCTGCTTCAACCTCTTGAGTAGCTGGAATTACAGGCAGGTACCACCACACCCAGCTAATTTTGTATTTTAAGCAGAAACGGGGTTTCTCCATGTTGGTCAGGCTAATCTCAAACTCACGGCCTCAAGTGATCTGCCCATCTTGGCCTCCCAAGGTGTTGGGATTACAGGCGTGAGCCACCTTGCTGGGCTGAACACACTTATTTTTTACAGCTCTGGAGGCTAGAAGTCAGAGATCAGCAGGGTTGATTTTTCTCCTGAGGCTTCTCTCCTTGGCTTGTAGAAGGCGGTCTTCTCCTTGTGTAGTCACGTAGTCTCTCCTCTGTGTGTTCTAATCCCTTTTTAAGGACATCAATCACTGGATTATGGCCCCTCACCCTTTTGACTTTAACCTTAATTATCTCTTTAAAAAGCCAAGTGAGGCAGTTCACGCCCATAATCCCAGCACTTTGGAAAGCCAGGGCGGGCAGATCACTGAGGTCAGGAGTTCAAGATCAGCCTGGCCAGCATGGCAAAACCTCATCTTTACTTAAAAAAAAACAAACCATAAAACCCCCCAAAATTTGCTGGGCATGGTGGCACATGCCTGTAATCCCAGCTGCTTGGGAGGCTGAGGCAGGAGAACTGCTTGAACCCGGGAGGCAGAGGTTGCAGTGAGCCGAGATCACGCCATTGTAGTCCAGCCTGGGTGACAAGAGTGAAGCTCCATCTCAAAAACAAAAAACCTTGTCTCCAAATACAGTACAGTCACATTGGGGGTTAGGATTTCAACATAGGAATTTGGAGGGCACACAATTCAGTCTATAGCAAGCACCATGTCTTTAGCACTGGCTGAAGGCTAGAGAGTAGCTGTATGCCCATAAAACAATTGTTTTTATCCTTCTAGTGATCACAAGCCCGTTTAAGGGTCTGGTAAATGCTGTGAACCTTTCTTTTTTCTTCCTTTTTTTTTAAAAAAAGAAAAATTCACCCATATAACTTATCTGTCCGCACCACTCCCCCCCCCACCCAACCACCACCATTTCAGAGATTTCATGGACTCCTTTTCTTTGAATCCAAGCATAATGTTCAGATTAAGAGGCTCTGCTTTTTAGGCTGGGTCTCCTGTTTTCTTATTTCATTCAGTTCTAAAAACTGAATATTGAGTGCCTACCAAGAACTGAGAACACAAAGTCCATAGCAGAGATCTGTCCCAAGGAGTTCATATAGTTTTTTTAGAGGTCTGACAGGCTCCTTTACGTAGTAAATTCGGGTGTTCAAAGTTCCGGTTCCTAGGGAAGGTTTCCCTTCTGTCTATATTGGTTGTCTTTGCTTTCTCACCTCGTTCATTCTAAAGTGTTTTCTACCCCCGCCCCCACTATTCAGTGACACTGCCCTTACTAAAGGCAGGAACACTTGTCATTCTCCTGCAGAAAGCTGTACTTTCTCTGTTATCCTGTTCTGTACCCTGTTTTCTGGATCTCATGTCATTATCTTTTTCAGTTTCCATTGTTTTTTTGTTGGAACACATTTTCTAGTAGCTTTCTGGGAAAGAATGCATGAGCTAATTAATATATATCTGAAAATGTCTATTTATATTCTACCTTTATACTTGATTGATAATTTGCATAGATTTGGGGTTGCAAATGATTTTCACCCAAAATTTAAAAATGATTACTCCATCGATTTCTTGCTTCCAGGAATGGTTTTGAAAAATCTAATGCCTTCTTTTTTTTTTTTTTTTTCTAATGCCTTCTATTTCCTTGTCAGTATATGTGACTTGGTTTCTTTTTCTAGATGCTTTTTGGATAACCTTTTTGTCATTGGTATACTGAAATGTCATAATGATGTACCTTTATATGTGTCTCTTTCATTTTTCTAGGTCTCTTCAATTCAGATTTTTTTCCCTCATTTCTGGGGAAATTTTCTCCTAGATTTGTGATCATTTTCTTCTCTCCATTTTCTTTTCTTTTCTTTTCTTTTTTTTTTTTCTCTCTAAAAGTTCTGGTAGTTGTATGTTGGATCTGTTGGGTTGATTCTTTATCTTTTTTATCTCTTAATTCCCTCCTCCCTCTTTCTTTTGGGGTGTGTTGGGGGCTTTTTCTTCTATGTCTTAAATTGAATTTTTAATTTTAGCTATCAGATTTTTAATTTCAGAGCTTTGTTGTTCTATGGTTAACATTGACTTGGGCTGATCTGTGACTGTGTGATCAAGTCACACAGCTAGCGTTGCCGCTTACTAGCTGTGTGACTTGAGCAATGCACTCAACCTCTCTTATTTCAGCCGGTAGATAGATTCACAAATAATTCAGGAATATTGAGGTTTGGCTGTGTTTTTTCTTATCTGTCTTACACGGAGGTACTATAACTGTAATAGGACTGTTTCTCACAATACCAGGTTGCGGCAGAGAGGTTTTATGGAAGGGCTTCCGAATGAGGAAATGGAAGGAAACCCCAAATTCGTCTTGGAGGAGTTTGGGGCTAGGGTTTAAGGGTTTTGGAATGAGCTGATTGATTGGTCAAAGAGTGCAGGGGTGAAGCCATGGGACAGGGAGATAAAGAAACTATTCTCATGCTGATTTGATTTCTCTATAGGGGTCTTTAAACTGGTCTTAAACTGGTGACAGCTATTTCACTGTATTTCTAGAATCTGAAAAACATTGTAAGCAATTCTTAAAAGCCTTATGATTCTAACTCAAAAATCCTATTTTTAGGAACAATAGAGATGCAAATGGACAG